CGATGAAGTGAGGGAAACCGAAAACTGCTATCATTCAAAGCATCGGACCTTCAGTTCCTATCAAAACAGAACTCCATTGGACCCTGACCTCGGAATCTCGTGAGCTTGAGAGTCATCTGCTGCTGCGCACGTCCTACCAGCCGCTCAGCCTCACATCATGATACTCGCCCACACACAAGACATGCCCGTCATGCGCATGCAACATCGCGTCAATGCGATCACCAACGCCTTGTATCTCTAGTTTCATTCTCATCAAAGCCTACTACGGTAGTAATAGGTCCACGCACCCGCCGAGCGCAGCCCACGCCGAGATCCGCTGCCTGCCCTCTCGTTTTGCACGCTATCCCGTGCGTACCCTCTGATCGTTCATACTGTACAGCTGGTGTATCGACGTCATCGCCGCCTTGGCGCTGGTGCGCTGACATGGACCCGCAGACCGCCAGCCCGCTCTCACACTCCCTCGCTCTGCTCCCTCCTGGTGGATGTCAGCCTGGTCCGCCTCACGTCTACCCCGCCCCTCTGCGCCGTCGCCTGCTTCAGCTTCCGCACGCTCTCCGGCCTCAGGATCTTGGAGATCGCCGACCGGCTCCGGCCGAAGATCGCCGCGATCTCCGTCTGGCTCATCCATGTCGTGGTCTCGTAGAGCTCGATGATCTCCAGCTTCTGCATGAGCGACAGCTTGGACTTGCCGTGACAAGCCTTGCTGTGCGCTCCCCGCTCCTCCTCCGTCCAGGCTCGCCTCTTGCGGGGCCCGACAAGGCCGTCCAAGTCCGTGAGGGCGGCGACAAGCCCCGGGGCTTCCTCCGCTCCCCCTCCCCGATCCGGCTCGGCCGCTGACGGCTCCAGCGGCTCCAGCCAGCAGCAGCTCTCAAACTCCTCTCCGCCCCCTCCCCACTCCTTGTCCGACCATCTCAGGCTCAGGCTGCTCGCCTCGGGCCCCGAGCTCGCCGGCGACGAGGGCGTGTGAGGAGCCTCCTCGGACTCGGAAGGAGTGCCGATCAGGTCCCAAGCATCGAGAGGCCATCGGTGATAGGACAGTCGGAGCAGGTCGTCGTCCTCCGGCTCCGGAAGCAGAGCGGCAGCGAGCTCGGAGGAGGAGGGAGCACGTGGGAGGCAGCAGGGAAGCATTCAGAGGATGTCAGTGCCCGGGAGGGTTTCTTTTTAACGCACCCTACTACTCCCCGACATGGGGAAGCAGTCACGCGAGTTTCGGAGGCCTGGCTGGTGGTCGACTACCCCCTACCCCCTATGCAGGTGATGAAATCACCCGTAGCATCGAGTACCCCTACCCGCGCAGCTTGTACGGGCGGGCACCGGTGTATCAAAATACAGCTTTACTACAAGATGTTCACTTTCTGCGGCAAAAAAAGGAAGATGATTCCGAGTCGGTTCACATCTGCTGATTGTCGGACTTGGTTCTT